AGAAATACTCATTCACGTGGAAATAAGATCACACTAATGAACTGACGAAGATCAAACAAACGTTGGGTAGTACCTTTTCAACGGGGTTCAATCGAAACCATCTGCGAGAATTGAACAGTGGATATTACGTCTTCAAAGTTTTGACTTCACCGTAAGATATGAGCCAGGTGACCCAAATCTGGCAGATGTATTGTCCAGGAAGGAAAAGTTGTGCTATTATTGAACCAGATGTGGTTGCCTGGCTATCAGAAGTCAAACCAGCAGCATTGTCGATACAAGATGATGCACTACAAGGAAGGTGAAGGATGCAATGTACTCAGGTAATTGGGACAATGTTGTAGCATAGATGTAACTCTAAAGGCCCGCGCACAATAGATACGTTTTCGGGTTTTTTGACAGATAATGCATGGGCTAACTGTCAAAAAACCGGAAAACGTATCTATTGTGCGCCGGCCTTAAGACCAGAAGGTCCCGATCAAGGTGACTACATATAGGTGTTCTAATGTGTCAAATTCATGATTCAGCCATGTTGGATTTTTGTATGGGACAGCGACCGAGTTTGTTTACAATTTGCACTAAAACCGCACTTTTCCCCCCCGCGACCTCCTCGCCTATATAGTGACAAAGCTGTATCACCATTTATATACCCACCATGGTCCCAGCTCTGGTACTATCTTCGGTCCCAAGCTAATCGATTCACCCCTCGAAACATAGGAAAATCCACTAACCCCTCATTTTATCTGTCAAATTGTCTCAATCTGTCAAATCAACCTCAAATCTCAAGGCCACATTCCAGAACGTGAGTGGATCATGGTGATCACGTCAAACTATAATGTCTCAAATGAACCACATGCCCCACACAGCTCCCATACACTCTCCATGATGAATCGTGAGTCCTCCCTTTTCCCTATCATTGCATGCAAAATCATAACCCAATGCAGGTCAATTGGGTTCTTTAATTTTGAAAAAAGTATCGTTTTTTATACATCATCTGAAAGAGCTTGGTGGGCGTTGGCCAAATTTGGATTTTTCAGATATAATCCTAAATAGGACCTAGATTATTTAATACTCTAGTAACCTCAAGTCCGTGCTCTGTCACAATGTTTCATTGTGATTAATCAACACTCAAAGGGGTAAAATATCAAATTTGGGGTGGATTTGAAAGAAAGGGAACTTGGAGTGTAGAGCGCACTGCCCACTGGACGATTCTGAAGCCTGGCCAAGTGAGTGGGGTATGGGTTTATTTGATTGAACGTCATTTCCAATGTATATATTGATACATTCAAACCATTGGCATTTAAGATAAGACAGAGATAGGATGCGGAGGGCCCGCTTAGGGGAAGCGTAACCCATGTTATGGTTTCCATTTATTAAATAGTTCAGATAGGCTGGAAATGACATGTTCATAGTGAGAAAATGTACCATATGGGGCCCGTTCACTGATCAAAATCAGATTCACATCATCAGACCCTGCCCAAGAATAAGGGGATTGACGATGACTTGTCAAGTTTTATTTTGAATTTGCGTTTTGCATTTAATACTCTAGTAAATCTCGCGTCCGTGCTCATTCACAACAGTGTGAGGTGTCAATACTCACTGGGTCATATGTCTTAGACCAGTTCCAGATTAGTTTGCTATTAATATCTTCTGCATCGCAGTTCGCGATAGATTCCTAAATATGGGTTCTCTTTTCCGACCATAATAGTGTTAGGGAAGGGGGTGAGTTCTGGATCAACAGTGGAGGGGGGCCCATCGGCGTTTGTGGGCAGACCGTCCAAAGCCCATTCCTCACGGATCGGAGGCTGCTCACGCAGACCAACACCATCTTCGTGTAGGTGGAAGTTTCCCCTATCCGATGATGGTGTTGGTTTGCGTGGGTGGCCTTCGCTTTGTGAGTGGGGGGCTTTGGAGCGGTTTGTTTACAAATGCTGATGGGCCCTTTTCTATTGTTGATCCAGAGTTCAACGTTGCGATATGAGAGCGAATAGAGGCAAATAAATAGGGAAGACAACACCATGACCCAAATAAGTAACCAATGCATGCGGCCCACACTTAACTTGTTCTATTTCTTTCTTTCTTCCTATCATGTACTAATATTAACTGCCTGAGGACAAATGGGAACACGACCAGAGGATCAATAGGAGAAAAAGAAAATTCGAACAAGAAAAGAAGAATTAAACTTGCACCGGTAAGAGGAAGCAGACAGAAAGGATCATGCCGGTTGGAGACAGCCAATGTATACTGGACGAAGCTTGTATCTAGGAAAAGTCGTATGTGCAGGAAACCGTAAGTAGGATAAGAATCGTAAAAGGTTTGTGCTTGCTTGATAAGATCCTAACTTTACTTTAAATACACGGTAGGAATCGAATATCCATTTATGATTAAGGTTTTGCCCATTTTACAGTGGGAGTGGCAATACTCATTGATGAGTGATTTATCGTACCCATTTATTAGTAACTGTTAGCAGTTAATGATTAATTGATTTACCTATTTTAGATTTACCTATACTTCACATCAGAACCTCATTTCCTTCAATTACTACTCCGTCGCAGCACACACCTTATACGGATCGCTAACCTTTATTTAGTTTCAGCATTTTCGACATTATAATCAAAAAGTGAGTTTTAAAAATATAATTACCATGCTATAGATAAGTTAATGTACCAGAACCTGGACGGACACCAGCCTACCCAGGGGAGGACCCGGATACGACCACCCATGTGTGTCTAGAGTATCGCACGAGCTGACGAGTGCAACGGGAAGGACAGTAGGTGTATAGACTAGGGGGTTGGTCCCTAGATAAGCCTTCTTAGCGGAAGGCACAGCCTATGCACTGAACAATTACAATTACAATTACAATCATCTGAAAGAGCTTCGTTTTCTGAGCACAGCGATATTTTTTCGTACGCACACACTTTCATCTCGATTTTTAAATTAAGATTTAAAGCAAAATAACAACTTCACTGTTTGACGCTAAACTAACAAACTGACAGCTCGATCTTTATACAAAGTGACACCGAGGGGCGCAAATAAGGTGATTTTTGCGAATGTAATCGTACTTATTTAAAATAGTTCCAGTGTACCAAAATTGATGAAATTTTGGATTTGGGTTCCATTTTTAATGCAGATTACGAATATGCATTTACCTCAATACCCTTAAAGAACCCAATTGTAGGTGCCAAAATGCCTAAATTGCAATGATAGTAAAAACAGTAATGCCAGTATAATATGCAAATTGAATGAAATGAATATTTACCTGTTAATAATGATCGAGATTGGTTAAAAGTAAGGGAAATTGTTAGTTGATTTTACCATCACAGAGTTTGACAAAAGCGCGATGGTATATTATTATGACGCTGATCAGACAAATCCTGGGAAAGTATCAACCTAGTTGTTAGAGAAACCTCTGAAATTCAGGATGTTCAGTTGATCATCGCTACTTGAATCACTGATAGTATCTTCCGAGTCTTCGTATTCTGATTCCACCATTTCAGTGAACGATCTTGTCGTGGCTGTTTTAAACTCGGTTCAGTTATTAGCCAACTCTTGCCAATAATCCGCCGATCGTCCGCTTCCTTCTACATCGTGCCTTGCGCTGGTTTTCCAATTGTCGTCTTCTCCGGGATCCCATACTAAAGGGCTTTCCTGATAATCTGTTGTGATGATTCTGTTTTTATGAAAATAAAATGATGTTCTATCCCTCTATCATGGTTAGATGTTGATCCAGCTGCAGATAGTTAATATCGTTGTCTTCTTCAAAACTGCATCGTCTTGGTCTAAAGAAAAGGAAATCGCCACTCGAGCAAGCCAAATTCAAAGGTAGTCCTTCCTTTGTGATGTCACATTCCAAAAGTTTTGAACCAAATAAAAGCCTGGGACCTGGTTGCAGTTAAGCAATCCTCAAGGTTATGCCAATGCCAATGACTGGTATTTTGTAATCGTAAAATTGATCATATTTGTAGTTCTGTGGCGAAAAAAAAAAGTTGTCAATTTTGTATGAAAATCGGTATGCACTGCTATCAAATATATTATATTAACAATATGATCCAGCCGGCGCGGCTTGGGCTTAAGTCGTGACTTCATTCGGGTGATGAGTAGACTTATGTCCAACCACTACTCGCTAGATGCTCATCTCAATAGAATAAACCTCGTGGACAGCAACATCTGTCGGTGTGGAAACGGTTACGATGACATCGAACACGCAGTTCGGCAATGTACGGATAATGACGCCGCCAGAGAGCGACTTTTGAATACCCTCGAGGCCCAAGGAAGACAACCCTATGTTCCTATCAGAGACGTGTTGGCAACCCGTGATCTCTGCTATATGCAGTCCGTTTATGTGTTTCTTCAAATGTCTAGTATAAGAATTTAATTCCTTTGTCTTTTGTCTCTCTTTATTAGTTTTTGTTTGTCTTGTCCCCCCGTCTCGATGATTCTCATCGTCGCCCACTGGTCACCATAGCCGGTCGAATTCCAGACGAAGCTAGAACAACACTACCATTCATACTGGCGACAACGCTCTGATGAGACAACGAAACCCTACCCCAAGCTCCTCCCCTGATCCTATCCTTCAACAATGTACCCCTCTAACCTCGAGTAAGCCGCGAGTAATCGGCCCAACTCCTACTAGACATAGAATTAAGTGAATTTTGTTACAAACAGTGAACAATGAATTATCGGCTCCGTAAAGCTAACGCGATTGAGCCTTCCAAATAAACGAAATGGATAAAAAAAAAAATCCAGCCGGCGCCGGTGGTGTAGTGGTAAGCGTGACTGCTTTCTAACACCCCAATGGGTCTGGGTTCAATCCCATCCGAGGTCGGTTTGCCATTTTGGCGACCATGTGTGGACTCGGTATCGTATGTCCTTAATCGAATTCTGTTCAATGGCGTTCGGCCCAACCGAAAGAGTCCCACACTAATGTACCCAGGTCCATTCTTTCACCCCCCTCAGTTGCAGAGAGTCCTTAATCGAGTCATCGTTCCCGATTCGGTACTTACCTTAATTTGCCCGTTACACCGCCCGGAGAAATCCATGATGTTGTACCACCCGAGAATGCAGGGCATCCCGCTTAGAAAGACGCTCAAATCCACCGCGGTGAAGCCGACGACGGCGTCCTCCATCGGTGCGGGAACCATTTGCCCTTTGGCCGCTCCCTGGCTGGTGTTATTCACCACCGCTTTGCGCCATACCTTCAGTATGAAGCGCTTCTCGTCCTGTGTGATTGAAAGGAATTTTAAATGCTTACAATTTACCTATGCACTTTGAAGGAACTCACATTCGTCATCAGATCTACCGGCAGCTGAACGTCAAACTTCTTCTTCCAGTTTGGATTGGAGCAACCTTCCACGATCGCCGTAGTGTAGACGATTCCCTCGTGCGATTTAACCGTATCGGCCGTTCCCGGTTGCAAATTGTAGCCCTCGAACGTGACATAAGCGCTCGGTTCCACTTCGAAGCGTTGGTTTGAGCCTTGCGTACGATTCTTGTTCCGTTTGCCGAACTTTTTACCGACATTCACCTTCGGCAGATTGACGGCCTGTTCGATTTCGATCGACACATTGAACAGCTTCTCCTCCGGACCTGGCTGCTGCTGCTGCTTCGGTGGCGGCTGAGTTTCGTCCGAGGGAGCCGTGGCGCATGGAGCCGTCAGCAGGTCGGAGCTCACATCTTCCGGTGGTCTCTGAGCGAGGGCTCGTTGGAGGTTCTCCAGAAGATCGGAAGTTTTACGCATTTGAGGATTATTCGCTTGCGAGTGGGGTGACGCTAGAAGTGATGAAGGTGGCGGTTGTGGTGGAGGAGTGGCTGGGCGATTATCGGCAAAATTTTGATCGTAGCAAGGGGCGGTGCTGCGTTCCGAAGAGATTGGCAAGCGTTGGGCAAGATTTTCGATGAACGCCGACAGCATGTTGGCCACCTCGGATTGCTGTTTGCCGGTGTTGGAAGAGCTAATCGGCCGGTACGAATCGACGTCACGCTGGTGGGATATGGCCGTCGAAGGGGTGACCATCGATTGCGATGGAGGTGCGTCTCGTTGTTTGTTTGATTCCGGAGGCGTCTGCGGGCTGCTGTGGAAAAGGTTGAATTAATTACGAAATTTAAACAGCCCATAGAAATGCCATCATACCTTCCGCGATCAACTTCCGGAACCGCAGGTCGGTTCGTTACCATCGGAGCATCCCCGGAAGTATGGGTCAAACTACGGGACAGTTTGAAGTACTCGATTTGGTTCTCGGTTCCAATGGCCAGCACGGCATGTACCTGACCGCAGGGATCGGAAGCCAGTGGAGACCCTATGCCACTCCATCCATCGATGCTGATGACGGGCAACTTGGCACGAGACAAATGATCTGCCAGCTGTGCATCCCGGAAAGCGATGTAGAATTGGTGCAGCGGCAGTCTGGTAATGCCAACCAGCTTCTCTGCAGCGTCCGGCGTCTTTTGCCACAGTTCAACCAGCATATGCTGGTTCTTTGTACGTTCCAGGAAGCGATCGTCCGGCATTACCGGAAAAGTGATCAGATAGTTGAAGGATTTGCGATCCTGGGATAGTTCCGTCGTTAGGATCGGATTATCTCCGTCGGACCAGAAACCGTGCGCTATTAGGAAATATCCACCCGCCGAGAGGGTGGGAACATCTTTCAGCTGTCCGAGATGTAGTACTCCATGGAGAAGATTTTTCGGTTTTTCCGAAGGATTTTCCTGTGTATCCATCGCTTTCGGGCCGGTTTCCCGTGACGATCCTTGCTGCTGAGAAGGATTTTCCCGAGAACCGGTTGGAGTGGGGGAATCTTGAGTTGGAGACAGATCTTTTGAAGCGTTCGGAGCAGTACCATGCTGATCCTGGCTGCAAGTTACCGGTCGGCAATGGAAGTGTGAATGTCCCACCGGCACTGTTGAACATCTTTGAAGTGGTGTGAAAGACCAGCATGGAGCTTGCAGATCATTTTCACTGGAAGAACTGCTGATTGAGACGTTTTCCTTATCTACGATTAGAGCGTCGATGAGCTCCGTTCCAAAGTGGAGTCCACGGGCACCAAGTTCCAGCCGAACTGTCAGCATGCCCAGCAAGATGTCATCGGAAGCCAACCGAACCGGACATCGTTTGTAACAAGTAAGCCTGCTGCTCACCAGTTCCTCCAGCTTTATCACGGAAGAACCCAAAAAGATCTGCCTTCCGGTAGTCGATCTTTGATGGAAAACCGGTCCAAGAATCAAGAAAACCAGGAATTCGAACCGGAAATCATCTGGCTTCCTGGGAATAGAAATTTTCGTAATAGCTTTTCCATTGAAAACGGCCTCTCCACAGTCGGAAACGGAAGCAGATGCAAATTTGATTTTCGGACCAGCACTTGATTGCGAAGGAAGCTTCACTTTTATCAAGAATCCCACATCCGTCAGTGAGACAAGTTTGGTTTTGTGAATAATCTCCTTCAGTCCTGCCTTGGTGAATTTTAGGCTCTCAACCAACATTCGAGCCGAATCTACCGCATTCAGGTATTCGGTCTTTTTCGGAGCTGGAGCAATGTCAAATTTATGAAGAGCATCCATCATACTTTCCGCAGGCGAAATGGAACATATTTCGCTAAGCGCTTCATCCTCGGAACCGGAAAGCATCTTCCCCGATAGATAGTTGAGCACATTTGAGCGCGATGGGTTGTCCAATGAGCGGAAAGTTTTAGCCTGCTTCCCTTCATGTAGCGAAACGGAAACACCCTTCACCGCCAGTTCTGAAGCCCGCTCCGGAAGCACTACCGGAAGCGGCTTCTTCACCTTCTGCACCATACCTGCCTTACCGTTTTCTTTATCCTCCCGCTGCGTCTTATCAAACCTCAACACAAAGTCCAAGCTTATCTCCCCCAAACCGAACCCAGTCCCGCTAGCAATTTCCGCTCTACCAACACCTTCCACCTCTTCCCCCACGCGAAAGTTCACCAACTTGCCCGAAACGGGAACAGCCGCCGTTCCGATCAAACTTCCCGTCCTACTCGAAACCAATCGCACTTGAATCGGTTCGGCCGCCTTCAGATACTTCCGAAACAGTTCCTCACTGGTCAACACTTCGTATCTGAGCAATCGTTCCGACTCACTGACGTTCTTTCCCTGTTCCCAATGCAGCAAACTTCTCCTCTGCTCCTCCCCACCACAAAAGCCGAATCTCAACCAGCGGATAACTTTTGCCACTGGTCCACCGAATTCCGGAAAGACGAACCTCTAGCGTTCCCCGCCGGCGACCGTTCACATTCGGCGGAAGGCTGAGCAACTCCTGATGGGCCTGGGTTGAAACCACTGCTGACGACGATGATGGCTTCTTCTGGGAGTTTTGCTGTAGCAGTTTACCACTACCTCCTAGACCGACGGCACTGAACATAGCTTTTCCGCCGCACGGGATGGCATGGTTTTACGCGCACTCACTGGGAATAGGATTGTGAAAATTTTCTCAACTTTGATGATCGAAAATGGGACAAGGAAAACCACTTTTTCTTCAGCACGGCACACAAAGCTTCGGTTGTATTTTTCAATAAAGGAGTAAGTTGAGAATTAGGTTTTGAGCGAAGGGAGTAAGGCGGGGTGCTGCGGAAAACGTCACAACAAACGATTAAATCTCGACCAACAATTGAAAAGAGCCTATCTGTTTTTGTAAACAAAACTTTGTAAGCTCTTTCCTCGCAAACCGAAGGCCGCTCACGCAAATAAATGGCAGCATTGTGTAGGAGAAAGTTTATCTTACCCGATAATCTTGTTGGTTTGCTTGGATGGCCAAAGCTTTTCGAGGAAAGGGCTAACAATGTTTTGTTTATAAAAGCTGATCGGCTCTTTCCAATTGTTTGGTGGAGAAATGTTATGGCCGCGATCGGTAAAGAAGAGTGTTATGCAAATCAAAATTCGACAGGGCTTGCGGTTTAATTTTTACCGATTCGAGTGAAATTTTCCAGAAGGGAATAGAGCCCGGTAAAAAAATGCATTAAAACAAAAAAAAAATGAATGAACAGTAATTTTCTGGGAATAAAACATAGGGTAAAAAATAGTCTCTGTGGATTTAATTGTCATGCTCTGGATCCAAAATTATCAACAGCAGGAATTACGGACCAGGTGGATCGACCAAGTAGGAGGCGACCTGCAGACTAGAGTAGAGTGGAGACGACTTCTTCGGACGGCAGAGCTCATCATACCCAGATTGGTAAGGAATTTCGGACAAAACAAGAACGACAATCGGGTGCACCGCTTTAGTTATCAAGTGATGGTATTCATCCTCCTGGAACGAAATGTATTTGCTTGTGTAATGTGGGTTAGCCAGCCGCAGCAAAAGCTTATAAAGTGCGTACAACAGAAGAGCAACGGATGAGTTTGGGGTGAAAATGCTACTTTAAATACGCAAACGTACGAGTAGGAATAGGCAGATGTTCTACCGCCTAGGCGATGACGATAACACAAAAATTGTTACGGGATTAATAGTAATAATCATATTTATGTTTATATAGAATAAGTATTGACGATACGATACGGAGCTTCTTACGACTCATCATCGCTGTTGGCTCCACCGGCTCGGGGCTTCGGTCCACCGGCCCTCTTCGCCATGATAATCTGGTCCACCTTCAGAATCGTACACGCAGCACCGACGGCATACTTCAGAGCCCAATATTTGGTCTGGAACAGGTCGTAGATCTTGGTGCTGTTCACGTCGATTGTCGACGGCTGTTCCGCATCGATGTCGAATCCTTCGTTCAGCTTGCCTTCCTTGTGTGCTAGATACAACTTGTTGAGGATTTCCGTCGCGTTGATTCCGCTGTTATCAGCCAGAGCCTTCGGGAATACTTCCAGAGCAACTGCAAACTTGCGAACGGCGTACTGATCCAAACCAGGCAGTGTATCAGCGTATTCAGCTAGCTGCCGGGCGAGTTCGATTTCGATTGCTCCAGCTCCCGGGAGGAAGCGTCCGTCCCGTGTGAGACCCTTGAATGTGTTGACGCCATCATCGATCGCACGTTCAATATCGTCCATGTAGTTGTCGGTGGAGCCGCGGATTACAATGGTGGCAATTCGGCTGTCTGTACCTTCCGATCGGAAGATGCAAACCGAGGTATCTCCCAGTTCGTTGACGAAGACATTGTCACAGTAACCAAGTTCCTCCGATCTTGGCGATGTCAAACGGGGCAATACGGTTCCATTAACGGCCTTGCTCAACCGGCGGAGATCGAATTTGGAGTTCAGGCGAACCGCCATCAATCCATACTTGTTCATGTAGTGCAAAGCCATGTCACCGAACTTACCTCCTGCGACGATAACCTTCGCTCCGGTGTCGGCGATGGCCTTAATCTGCGTTTCCAGGAGATTCTCTTCACCCTTGCTGAAGCTCTTCAACTCTTCGGCGCTCTTGATCAAGACAGTTCCCTTCGTTTCCGTCTGAATGATATCAACCGGGCAGGAGTACATTGCAATCTTGGCATCCTTGGCTGAACTGATATCTCCTTCGACAAATCTCTTGAAAACCATTCCATGGACCACCTCCGACGTGTGCAGTCCACTTCCCAGGATCTTACACACACGAATGTTGTCCACATTGAACGTGGTCTTCTCCGGCAGAATCGAAACGCAAGCTTTCGTAATCAAATCCGTGATAAAGTCCTCATTGCCCAACTGCTTAGACATGATCGAAGCCTTCATGGCTTCCTTGACCTGCTCCAGATTCCGGTAGTCCTTCACTTCGTGACACACCAGCTTCGGCAGAATCTCCAATGCCTTATCCAGCGCTTTCTCGTATCCTTCGGTGATGTCGCTGGTGGTCACTCCCAACCGCAGCAGTTCCTCAGCCACCTCCAACAACGCTCCGCAGAAGACTACCACGAAATTCGTGCCATCTCCAACTTCGGCTTCCTGCATCTGGCTGGCTTGGATCATCAGCTTCGCAGCCGGATGTTCAACATCCAGCTCCCTCATAATGGTACCCGCATCGGAAGTGACGAACTGCTTCTCGATATGATTGATGATCATTTTGTTCATGCCATTGGGACCGTATGCCGATCGTACTGAACTGGCAAATTCCTTGCAAGCATTGATGTTACGGTACACTGCTTCCTCCAAGCCGGAATATGCCTACGAGAAAATTCTCACGTGAGTCATCGTCGATGGAAAATGTCCGCCTCGCGGAAAGTAGAAAAAATTGCCACAAGCGTGGCGAAATTCAAACAATTTGCACTTACGCGAGCGCCTTCCTTCAGCATGGAAGCGAAACCGGGTGCTTTCGGGACGTGGAGAGCCATTTTTCTGCACAGATTTTCTTACAAGACACCGCAAAGCAAAGAATAGGAACACAACCTCAAACTCGTTTCTGGATGGGTACGACGAAAAACGGGTCTTTCTCGTGCAAGCGCTGCTGTTGTTCTGCACACATCGAAAAACGAGCAAACGTGAGGAAAAAACATGAAAAACACCCCCGCTTGGCAGATGCTCCTGGTTGTGTGTGTGAATCGGGCCCGAGTTTTATCGTTTTGCTGTCATATTTTTTTTCGACGGGGGAAAGGAAGATCGGTTTACGAGAATGTTCTGGATGCAGTACTAGAATGGGTACACTGAAACAAAGACCACAGTGAGGAATACTATTTTGCAGAAAACACTTATTATTTTCAGTATAACCAACAATCAATACGAAACTAACGATTTTAAATTGGCTCACCACTTTAGTAGCCTATTGGTCCCAAGCAAACGATTAACGTACCCTATTCTAGTCGAAATTCTATTACTACACTATGTTTGTTTTGATTCGCTATGAAAGTTTGACAGATAACATCAGGGGTGTGTGGATTCATGCAGAACATGCAGGGGTGAGTGAAATAGCTTGGGACTGCTTGGGACCGTTGTTCTGGTACTGAGTGAGCCAAAAATAATAATGATTTTCTTCGGGACCCAGTGGTCTTAGAGTTACCTCTATGCCAATAGGCTACTAAAGTGGTGAGCCAATTTAAAATCGTTAGTTTCGTATTGATTGTTGGTACTAGAGCTGAGCCAAAATGTTGAGCACGTTTCTTCGGGACCTTCTAGTCTTAGAGTTACCTCTATGATCGTACTGCATATGTTGCGGTCAACTCGACTCGATCCCGCACTTTCAAAATCACGTATGGTGTACCCCAAGAAAGCGTTCTGGGACCATTAATATTCAACATTTTTATAAATGACCTGTGTCTGCTGCTTTCCTTAAGCTTTCATTCGCTGATGACCTAAAAATGTATCGTGTCATAGCTTCTCTTCCGGATTGTATTGCCCTACAAGAAGATATTGATACTACCTATAATGGTATGGTGTGGCGATAACGGCATGCGGGTCAATAACATGAAGTGCAAAGTTATTACCTTCGGTCGCTGCAATAACCGCATTCTTTATCAATACAGAATGGAAACTGCACCATTGGAACGTGTGTCGTCCATCTGTGACCTTGGCGTTACCATCGATTCGAGGCTCAGATTCAACGAACACGTGAGCATTACCACTGCCAAAGCTTTTACTGTGCTGGGATTCATCCGTCGCCACGCTTCCGAGTTCACCGACATCCACGCTTTAAAAACTTTCTATTGCTCGTTGGTTCGTAGCATTCTGGAGTACGCTGCTCCGATTTTCTCCCCTTATTATGTAGCTCATCTTCTCACGATTGAACGGGTGCAAAAAAGGTTCTTACGGTTTGCACTGAGACAACTTCCTTGGAACGATCCGACCAATCTTTCTCCTTATTCTGACCGATGCAAGCTCATTTGCAGGCTATTTATAAATATATTTTCGATGCCATTGGAGGATCTATCGATTGCCCTGAATTTCTCGCACAGATCCCGCTTAACATTCCTCCTCGATGGTTTCGGAGCTCAGCTTTAATAGCAGTCCCACACCACAGAACAAACTACGGCTACAACAACCCTTTTGATTCGTGTCTTCGCTTGTTCAATGTTGTCTGTGACGAATTCGATTTTAACTTGACTAAAAACGTTTTTAGAAATAGGATTAGTAGTAATTTCTAGTTTATAAGTAAAATAGTTCAGTCTGTACGACTAGTCGCAGACGGTGATAAATAAATAAATAAATTGAGAAATAAATAAATATAAATAATAGTTTTTATATGTTTATAGATTATGAAAACTACTCGGAAAACTTAGTAAAATCATAGAGGTAACTCCATAGAGGTAACTCTAAGACTAGTAGGTCCTGAAGAAACGTGCTCAACTTTTGGCTCAGCTCTGGTACTATCATAGAGGTAACTTTAAGACTAGAAGGTGTCGAAATAACGTGCTCAACTTTTTGGCTCAGCTCTGGTACTCTCTTCGGTCCCAAGCTAATCGATTCACCCCTCGAAACTTAGGAAAAACCAATAACCCCTCATTTTATCTGTCAAACTTTCATAGCGAATCAAAACAAACATTGCGTAGTACTAGAATTTCGACTAGAATGGGATACGTTAATCGTTTGCTTGGCACCAATAGGCTAGTCAAGTAGTGAGCCAATTTAAAATCGTTAGTTTCGTATTGATTGTTGGTACTATCTTCGGTCCCAAGCTAATCGATTCACCCCTCGAAACATAAGAAAATCCACTAACCCCTCATTTTATCTGTCAAATTTTCATAGCGAATCAAAACAAACATTGTGTAGTACTAGAATTTTGACTAGAATGGGGTACGATAATCGTTTGCTTGGGACCAATAGGCTAGTCAAGTAGTGAGCCAATATAAAATCGTTAGTTTCGTATTGATTGTTGGTAACTCTAAGACCAAAAGGTCCCTAAGAAACGAGCTCAACTTTTTGGCTCAGCTCTGGTACTATCTTCGGTCCCAAGCTAATCGATTCACCCCTCGAAACATAGGAAAATCCACTAACCCCTCATTTTATCTGTCAAACTTTCATAGCGATTTGAAACAAACATAGTGTAGTACTGGAATTTATACTAGAATGGGATACGTTAGTCGATTTGCTTGGGATCAATAGGCTAGTCAAGCAGTGAACCAATTTAAAATCGTTAGTTTCGTATTGATTGTTGGTAAAATAGTTTCGCACAAGGGGCAAGACACAACCGGATTCGCTAAAACCAGAATACACCAGAATATACCAGAATACCAGAATACTTAAAAAATCATCATCTTGGCCAAGAAACATTTTTAAGGTGAATCTCTATCAAATTTCCGTTCGTATCCATTGCTAACAAAATACACATTTTTGCATTTCAAAACAACGAACAACCTTCTGAGTTTAAAATGAACACCTGGCAATGTGAAGTTGTCTTGGGTACATGGTCTAGTACTGCATTTGAACAACGTCAGTGTGTGGCATCATATACCGACGCCACCTTTCCCTTCCAAAAACGATAACTTCCATCCATCTTGTTTTTCCATCTGTCAGAATAATTTTCTCATCACTTTTAATCGTTTTCGATCGCCATTTGTATAGTTTGTTACAGTTTTTCGAGAATTTTCGGGTAAATTACCACGTAAAAGTGTTCAAGTTTTAATCTTTCTACACATTAAAACCTTGCCTAAAAACTGCGCGTAAGAGTCGAGTTGTGAACGTTCCGATTTGTCGCCAAAATCGGAATCAAAAGTAAAAAGGGTGAAAAAGCATCAGCTAGCAGCTGGAGCGGACGTGTGTTTGTGCTTAGAGGTCATAGCAAAATCTTTCCAACATAGGGCTATCGGAGACGGCCGTAATGGACATCATGGCTTCGAACCTTCAACAGCAACGGGCCATTACCGAGCAGTTGAGGCGAGAGGCTGCGATCCAGCGGGTTCCAGTCACACAAGCCGTGGCCGACATCGTCAAGTACGTCACGGAACATGAGGCGGAGGACTGTTTGCTGGTTGGTTTCTCCAGCCAGAAGGTGAATCCCTTCCGGGAGAAGAGCTCCTGCCAGATTCTGTAAGGTGGCAAGGGGAGTGGCGATGCGATTGACGATCAGTGCTCTCACCGCCTCCAGCGGCGGTAGTGGAAGAGGAATCTCAGTAATTGAACGAAATTGTTCGAAGCAGGATGAGTGGCGAGAAAAGTTCGAATATGGGAGGGGTGGGAACCTGACGTCATCCGTAGTCGAGTTTTTTTTTTCTGTTCACTTGTGTGTATTCTATATCAATGTTTTAGCGAAACGCAATGAGGGAAACACAGGCGTAATGTTTAGGCGTAGGTAGAGATTGCTTTATGTCATGCTCTAGAAAGAGGGTATTCGAAATCAGTGGAAATTGAAAACAGGAAATTAGCTTGTAGGCAGCAATAAAACAGGTTGAGACTTTTACTTCTGAATCAGGCATTTCCCCCATTCCCTATCGAAGGAAAATCCAATTCGCATTCACATACACGTTAGAGCAAAAAAAAAAAAATATATCGGTTAATAGTAGATTTTATCAGCATCAAATGGAATAGATTCGGGAAACTGACGGGAATTGCCGGGCGTTTTCTACTGACGCGCCAACTACCTAACTATTGCTACTACTAGAAAAGGTGAAACAAAAACTGACGAGGAATCAAACAATATACTATTTATTGAATGTTACTAATCGAATCTGTATCGTCCGGAGCGTCGGCCTTCGGAGTACGGTTATTCGCAGGTAGGAATGGCGGCACAGGGTATCGGAATCGAAAATCAGCACAATCAGAATCAGAGAGGTAGCCAAAGAAAAGCAATGCCTGTCCGGTGGGAGTCGCGCTTCGGATTAATAAATCGTAAACTATATTTATGTATTGTGTAACGGATAAAAAAAATGTAAGCCTTGTCATTGTGTCCGAAATGCCCTCTAGGTTCTAGGATTAGGTCGGATGAAGGTTTGCGGTTTCTTAACCGATCACAGAATAGTACATGGGAATGCTGCATCTGATTCCGGCGAAGGCATAATTTACGTCAGTATGGCCGCAAATAACTATCGGTGAGTACCTATTTCTTACTTCTTAATTGGCAAATCAAAGTTGGCACTCGTGGAGAATAGAAGAACTATGAAAGTGATGATGGTTTCAAAATTTTCCACGGGGAGGTATACGAGTGCAATCTTAAAATGCTTTTATTTTGCAAATGGAGCAATTCATGTTTGGGTAGTTTTAAAATAGCGTGCACCTCACCCGAGGTGACAATTGTCACTTCTCTGTCGCCTCACCTCATACGCCGCGCAGCATAGGCATAACAGATTTATCTTTTTTTTAATATTATTATTGATTTATTTGATAAGGCTCCACCGAATTAACGTTACAGAGCCGAGGATTCTTGTTCACTATACCAATACATCCTAAAACTATAGTCAAAAGGTACAACACAATAAACATTTTATCTTCCGCTATCCAATATGCCTCCTGCACCAGAACGGGAGCCGCTTCCAGTGGTTTCATTGTATGACACATTCGCCAATGGGGGACGCCAAACGTGATCAGCACTCACACACTCATCACGAAACGGTTGCTTTCCAAAGTCGACGACGCATCGACTGAAAGAACTGCTGAAGAAGAACAATGAAGAGGACCACACAATGGTTGCTGCCGAGTAAACAGACGATCGTGTGAAACACATTGAGAGTGGTCTGCTTCTGTCGACAGACGAGTGAACACTGTAACAGATTTATCTATAATGATACAGATTTTCTCAAACTTTTGATACAGATATCTGTGTATACATATTACAGATTTTTTGTCGAATCGGTAAACAAGCCGTTTTAACAACCCACAAACTGATTGATTACAGTTTGTGACTCGAACAGTCAACTGGATATTTTGACATTTGACTAGCATAATATTTTGATAGAGCTGGAAAATAAGGCGTAACAGCTTTTGTAAACAATGACTTCTATCGATGATTTCTAGGAATTCAAGGCACGTCCACTCAGACCAACCTAACCATCGGATAGGGGAAGTCTTTCCCTACTCGATGAGGAAGTTGGTTTGCGTGGGCGAACCTTGAATTTCTAGAAATCATCAAGAGAAGTCATTGTTTACAAAAGCCGTTAGGCCCTAATTCCAGCTCTATCTAGATATCGGAAATAAAGAATATTCGATGCAATTCTACAAAACATTCAAATAAAAGTTATGTGTTGTAACGTGTCCGACGCTTATCCGTCCGTTGCTCGAAAGCAACTGACAAAGAAAACTTTAGACTTAAAATCAGTGCTAACATTTGAAAACGGCACAAAAGCCATTTGTAAACAAATCCAGAACAACATGTGAAAAGGGCATACAAGCTTTTTGTAAACAAACCTTTGTAGGCCCTTTTCTCACCAACCGAGGGTCGCCCACGCAAACCAGCAATATCATCGGGAAGGGGAAAGTGTCCCCTACCCGATGATGTTAAAGGTTTGCGTTGGTGTCATATGGGTGGCGAGAAAAGGGCATAAGAAGGTTTGTTTACAAAAAGCTTGTATGCCCTTTTCACATGTTGTTCTGGAAATGGTTTGTGGGCCCTTTACTCACTACTTGAAGTACACCCACGCGACACAACAGCAACATCGGGTAGGGGAAATTTTCCCCTTCCTGACGATGCTGTTGGTTTGCGTGGGCGTTCTTCGGGTAGCGAGTAAAGGGCCCACAAACCATTTGTTTACAAATGGCTTTTGCGCCGTTTTCAAATGTTAGCACTGAAATGGTCTTTATTTCTTGTATTTGTGTGTTTTACATGTATGAGTTATTAAGTGACACAGATGCGTCTTTTCAACTTTAGTTCTTTTGAAATTTCAATTATTATTAATTACATTTCCTAGTCCTATCAGGCCTGTTTTAGAGAATGACCCAAGGGGTAAGTCATTCAGCACATTGTGCCGAAATTAGATTCGACACAGTTGGACACATCTTCGGCACAATCTCGTAGGCATTGGATTGTTGTAAATAAAATGGGAGCACGGTAGGATAACTGTCATTGAAGTTGTTCACAAGCAATGACATTTATATAAGGTCTGGGCCAACAGGCAGCTTGCTGATGTTAGAATCAAAAATGTTGTAAACATTGCTGAACATCTGCGAACAGATAGAAATACGTCACTGTCAACAGCTGTTTCGTGTAAAAAGACAAACATTGCAATAAAATGCGAACACCACTAAACATTTGCACATTTCACTAATACCAATAAGCCCTTTGGCCTAGACCTTATATAAACGTCATTGGTTCACAAGTCCCAGGTTCACACCATTACGTGCTGTTTGATTGTATATTTAGGAACATTTTCTAGAGCTTTTTGACGTTTAATCGCCGCACACTACTGTACCATTTAAAACGAACGAGTGCGAGTAAGTGAGAAACAGATTAGACAGAAAGATGATTTAACGTCAAACAGGTCTCTAATTGAAAATACCAGATCCACTCAGACCATCAGTTCACTTGTAGATCTAACTACGAAATGTAGGTTCTAGAGTGGGCTCAAGAGAAAGAGGCAGTTAATCAGACCCCATTAGTACCCTTAATTCAAATAATGCTGCAACTCACACAGAACAATCTACAGAAGTCTATTCATCATCCTCTATAGTTGGTCTCCAACAATGTTCCCCCGGTTCCAACTCTTTCCGGCCGCTGATACACACAAAGAAAAATCGTTGCTAAAATTAAAAAAACCATTGTTATAATTAAAAGTTTGCATTGGTTCTTTTTGGTAGAAAGCAGTTAGCTTTCAAAACGAAAGTCAATCAAGTGTCAATTCAAAAATGTTTCGGCCATTCATTTTAAAAGTTTAAACTTTCAAAACGAATTGTATTACTGTCAAATGAAAAGCCAGACAGTGTTGAAAGAAAAATATATTTTTTTTCTAATTCAAATCAAACTTTTAAAATGACATGTGGTATTTTCAATCGTAAAATTAAATATTTTCAGTTAAAAAACCATTATTTTCAATTTATTCACGTCGCTTTACATTATATATTATAATATGTGTTTTTATTTGGTTAATACATAGATCCAGACATATTTTTATCACTTGACATCAATAACAATAACAATAAATCATTATGACTACCCGATTTTCAAAAACGTCGTGGCGGTGGGTGGCTTCCTTCCGGACATCAGTCACTGATTTGGCAAATGGGGAACTATTTTATTTGATGCGCTATTTGTTGTTGAAAAACTGAGGCAAATATGTGATTACTGCGGAATTCCTATCACCGAGTTGAAGACTCGGTTGAACAACACATGCTGATGTCGTTGCTGCACTACGTTGATCACGTACATCATAAATCCTCCATCACACACAAGGGGAACAAAACAGGCATCTGTGGTGGAAACATTCGAATCGGCGGAACACCCGTAAATCGAAAATATTCAGCCGATGATGCCGTATCGGTCATGGGTTGATTTTCCATATTGGGAGATCGAACCAGAGCATTAGACAGGGTCATTTGTAAGAATGAGTTCCGTTCCACTGAAAACTACAAACAAGTTTGAACAACTCTTGAGGTAATGTCCTGGATAATGTAATGCATAATTACCTGGATACTAGATGAATTCAATCCGTTGAGTCAAGTTTGTCCAAATCTGGTGCTCTGAACTATGATGAAGTCCAACATTGGCCCTGCGAAACATCTTCAAGAATGTCGGAAGCTGAAAGTGATAATCTGCATCCCGGTTAGCTTTCTGGTTCCGGTTCTGCAAAATTAAAATTAATGAAAATTATATATGCGATCATTCCTAAAAATTCTCACCTTAATTATTTTCTGCCTGGTAAATCCGGTGGAAGCTGGGGTGGAAGCAAAGTGAGTGAAGTGTAAACTCCATTTCCATTCAATTGGAAGCTGCTTCGCCTTGTTTTGTGTCGCTCGTCATATTTAGCGCCAAACCGAAGTCCAGTGCTGCCAAAAACATCGCAATGAAGAGGTATTTTTGACAGTTCAACAACTTTTATTTCAAAAAATCACTTTTAAAATTACGAGTCGAAAAGTAAAAGAAACACTTTTAAACCAAAAAAAATAACTTTC